GTATTATAGTATCGCTTTTATTGGAAGAAAAACAGCGTGAATCCTTCTATCCGATAAGCAGCATGATTTTCATTGGCAGAAGCTAATTCATTTGCAAAATTATGTTCCGAATATAAGCAAGGTTTCTCGTAACTTGAATCAAACATATTCGGTTGGATTAGCATGCACTAAGTTGTCGCGCGGTCTGCAACTGTACAGCTCTCGTTGCATCGGTGGATCGTGAGGGGTGACTGCCAAAACGGAGTGAGAATGATCGGGGACTTATGTACGCTCTCCGATGCTCCACACCCTTGCCCACGAGGGCTTAGTAGGCCTCACGGGCCCGATGGCTACGCCAGAGCCTCCGTCCTGAGCAGAGCTCCCTCGAAGAGCTATGCAAGAGGTCCGACCTGGACCTTCGTTCGCCAATCCCATTGTCTCGAGATGGTATTACGAGGTGCAAGCTAATTATTTTTTATTATACAATATTACCAGCACGTTAGGTACACACAAATATCAGACAAGTTTATGTGGTTAATGCGAGTACATGAAAAAATAAATGGTTAGTCTACGTGCGAATATGTGACATGAAGCTAAGGTTACTGGAAATAACTATGGCAATCAATGCATACAGTAAACATACGGTCGTTTGCGATCCTTGCTCAAGCTATGCCGAGTCGTCGAGCTTCCCAACCTCCTGCCTGACTACGGCGTTCAAGTCCAACCACGATGATTGTGAGTCAGGTTCCGAGTTCCTTCCGACATTAAAGGCACAGTTCGCGATAATTCAATGAGCGGGCACGTCAATGACGTGTCCGCCTCTCATTCGACACCACGTCAGACTGTCTGACGTGACATCGAATGAGNGCGGACACGTCATTGACACACCCGCCCATTGAATCATCGCGAACCGTGCCTTTAAGGCTGACTGCGACACAGCGTCGGCACTAACATCAGATGGCAATAAAAAAGGTGCTGCGCTGTCCACTGTAGCCGCAAATGGAGTTGGAGTGCGACTGGCAGAACGAAGGACGACTGTGGGCTCCAGGGATGGCGGCGAGTAAGATCCAATGCAAATGATGACGGTACCTGTGGGCCAGAGCGAATGGTGGCATTAACTGTGGGCCAGGGTCCGTGGCTAACCATGGCCACGCAGCATCCCCTCGTTCCTTGCCCCTTGCGATGTGTTCCCTGCAATACCTTGTGCGCACCACGCCAATGTCCCTTCAAGTCAAACCAAAGGTACAACAAAATTTGAGTTAGATGTTTATGTAAGTGCTGACCTAGGAGCTCTATCGCCGCACTTTATTTTCAATGCATCTGGCATAGTCCTAGCGCTGGTGTGACTTAAGCTACCTTGATCGGCGATATCAAATATAAGAGTCGGTCTTAGAGTTGGTCATGCCAGTCATGTGAGACATGAAAGAGGTAAGCACGTTAAATGGGTAAACAAGTAAGGATTTTGAGCATAGGAAGAGTAATGTGTTTGTGGAAAGTCCAGTGCCCTAATTCGGGAACTTCACGACTTGTTCTTTTTGTTAAAGGCACAGTTCACAATAATTTTGTGTAATCCAGATTATGACGGAAATTGGGGAGAACGTCCGTTGCGCGTGTCCGTCGAAAGTAGGTCACCCCGCTCACTTCGCGCGCG